GTTCCCCAGCCAGCAAATGCTGGCGGGGGAACTCTGGGAGTTGAAGTCCGGACATCTTCAAGTTGCCAAGGTTGAAAAACACTGCTCTACACAGCCACAACAATAAAAACGAAAAAAGGAAAAGGAAACTGAAACAAATTGAAAGTGAAATAGAAGAAAATAAACAAGAGAAAAGAAAATGAGAATACATTGATTATATGTGCGTGTGTGTACACACACACACATACATATATAGACACACAGTCCTTGACTTACGACAATTGAGTCCAAAATTTCTGTTGTTAAGTGAATTTTGTCCCATTTTACAACTTTTCTTGCCCCCAGCTTTTGAATCACGAGTTGTCCAGTTAGTAACCTGGCTGTGAAGTGAATCTGGCTTCCCCAATGACTTTGCTCATCGGAAGGTCGCAAAAGGAGATCATGTGGCACCCCCCCCGCCCCCGGACGCTGCGGCCGTCATAACTTATGAGTTAAGTCGTCAAGTGCCCCAATTTTGATCAGGTGACACCTGGGGATGCAGCAAGTGTGAAAATCTGTCATAGGTCACTTTCTTCAATGCCAGGGGAGCTTCGAACAGTCACTCAATTAACTGTTGTAAGTCGAGGATTACCCGTGTAGTACATTTACATGCATACACACACACAAACACACACACGCACACACGTAAAAGAAGAGACAGCCATTGTGATCTCTGGAACTTAAAACCTATTACCCACTTGAGAACAATTCTGAAGTGTGCGGCGGGTGGATAGGCCCATCACATCCCATTCCAAATCGATCGATGTTGTATAAAGGCAGATATCTCATCCATGGTAGTTTTTAACACTCTGACATGTTAGCAGAAGTTAATGAAAGCTGTTAAGTGGGTAATATGTTTCAAGTTCCGGAGAGCACAATGTCAGTCTCTTCTTTTAACACTACACCTGGTTAAATATACACACACGTTTTTTTCCCCCCATAACCACTCTTACATCATTAATCTTACAGTGTGTCACCTGGGTACAATCTTTGCGTCGTCGTATTTAACGGTTACATAATTCCTCCCCTATAATTCTACGCTCTTTTCCAAATTATTCAATTTACTGTTTCTCTTCGTCTATATTCGTTTTCTATCCAGTGATTAAAAATATCCCCATAATATCTTAGAATACGCCGATTCTCCCTTCTCTTTAATCGCCAACGTTAATCTGTTCCATCTGCACAGTCTAATATTTCTTTAACTACCTCTCCCTCCGAATTTTTTTCCATTTTCCAATTTTGTACAAATACAATTCATACACGTATGTATATGTATGTATAATGCACACACATGTGTGTGTGTGCACATATATATACAAACACACGTGTGCACGCAGTACACTCCCTCNATTCCCTTCTGAAGGGGGGCAGAGCCGGTGTCTGGGTCAGGGGCCAGGGGTCCGTCACGCTTAGCTCCCCCGGAGGTGCTAGTTAGGGATGCTCTTGGCTTTGCTGGGTGGGAGTGGGGATCAATGGGGCTGCTGGCCCAAAAGGGAATATTCCCTCTGACACACACACCCCCCAAACCTTGCCACCCTCCCTGGCCTCTGCCCAGCCACGGTGCTTGGCCCACCCCCCACCCCTGGTGGAGTGCAGGGTGGCACGGGGGGCTCCCCAAAGCACCCCCGATGGTCTGAATCGAGTCTGGCACAAGCTACAGAAGCCGAATTTGGTTTAGCACCATGGGCCTGGCGGAGAAAAACATGGGGGGGTGGGGGGAAGATCTGAGGAGCCATGCTGGGGGGCCCTGGGGTGGCTGTGGAATAGCTGGGCAAAAGGGTTTCACCAGCCCTGCAGAGCCCAACGGGGCACTCCTCCCATGATGCCCGTGGGTATTACGCCAAGATGAATCTTGGGGGAGGGGGGGAATCGGGGGTCCAGGCCCAACCCCCCCCCTTTTTGTGGCCATTCCTCTTCCGTGGCATTTCAAAGGGGCTGCTCTGCCTGCGCTGGGCTTAATAGCCCCTTTTCTCCCTAATGCCACTCCCTAAATACCAGTCTGCAAGGGTTCAGCTGAACATGTGCAGAGAGCCCAGAAGAAGAGACAGCCTATTTCTTTTTCTGTGAGGGGGCTCTCCCCCTCCTCCTTTCCCAGAGGTAGGGAATCATTCCTCTTTTAACCTCATCCGTGTTCCCACTGAACCCAGAATCCCTTCCTCCTCCCTTCATTCCCCTCTCTGTGGGTCAGACGCCTGCGTGGCTAGCCCCCATCTGAGGAGGGGGCTGCCCCATCCCCAGGGAACTCTGGCTGGAGGTTCAGCCATGAGGCCAGGGCACCCGTCTCTCCCTCCATCCGATCTTCTGGTTGGCACCCTTCCTCTCCCTTGATTGAGGTGGGCACGACCTCCCACCGTGGCCACTTTAAGCCTGGCGGACTTCAACTCCCAGAATCCCCCAGCCAGCTTTGCTTTTTTGAATTCTGGGAGTCGAAGTCCGCCGGTTGCCGAGGTGGGAGGAGACCCCCCATAAAGCCCCTTGCTGAGTCCCTCTTGGCTTCCCTTTAGACGTCCGGCTGTGCAGCCCAGCGGCCTGCAGGAGAGGAGGGGGGCCCTTGGCCCTGGGAGGCGGCCCCTACTCCGCAGAGCCTCCCGGCCCCCAAGGACCTGTGCCGGAGGAAGAGGAAGGGGCCGAAGCAGAAGGGCCTCCGACGGGGCCTCTCCGTCTTGTACCACCTGGAGGAGGTGAAGAGGCGGCAAAGCAACATCGACAAGTAGGGAAGCTCCCCCCCCACTTTCTGTACAGACAGAGGGGCAGGCGCAGGTGGGCGGGGGGGCACTCTGGCCGGGGCCAAAGGCCGGGCTGCGGTTCGTAGGCGAGGAAGTCCTCAGGGGCTTCCAACCCCAGAAAGGCCCAGACCGGCCCCACGGCCCCCCACGTCCCTTCGGACTCTGCCCAGCGGTCATCTGCCCACCCCCCAAACCCCTTCAGGGCATTTGACATCCAACACAGGTTAGTCCTCGAATTACTAAGTCATCTGGCAAGGCTCCCTCCACTGCCTGGGCCTCACCCGGGCCTTGCCAAAGGTCCTTGGCTTACAACCGCAAGAGAGCCCGCCTATTAGCGGTCATAAGTGGGTCATCATATCCACATATCCATTTTTTGCTACGGCCGTTAAGCGAACCCATTGTTTCCTATGGGTCCTTTTGCCCTAAAGTGGAAGCAAACATCGGTTTCAGCCAAAACGGGACGCTGTGAGTGGCCATAAACGCAGACTGGTTGCCCAAAATGTGGTCCTGCAATTGGGGTGTGGTGGGGGACAGTCATGACCCGTCGTAAGTCGAGGACTCCGTGTGTATCCCCCGCTGAATGGAAATGGCTGCTGGAGGTTGGG